GAAAGTAGTAGTTGTAGGGCACTATTAAAACACAACATATCGCATTTGATATCATTAAATGAATGTGTAATAAAATTAGCCTCTTTACTGTCTCGATCGTGGATTCCACCAGCGCAACTGACAGGCGCGAGTCTTATTCGCGCCTGCAGACAACTCCTGAGCTTCTCCATATGGGACTGAACACCCCCCAAAAGGGGCGAGAAGTGGGTGTGCCTTTGTTGCGGGTACCTTTTGTTTGTGGTTTGAAAGGGAACCTCCATTTTGGGGTACCCTCGACAAAGACACACCCAAGTATCCCATTCCATCGCCATGGCACATGCGCCGAAGCTGTTCATACAATAATCTATTTCGGCCTCGGCACCCGAGCAACCGCGCACACATGGGTGCTCGCTAGGGAAAAACCCGAAGATTCGTAGCAGCTTACGCACGCAGTCAGCGAACTTAATTGGAGGTGTGGTTTTCAAATTATACATGGGTCTGTGTTTTTGAGGGACCCATTTTGGTGGTTGCAAAGGGAAACCGAAAGGAAGCCCACCATTGTGGGGGTTCCCAAAAAGGACACACCCAAAGTAGGAAGCGGTCCCCTAATATGCTTGGAGTCCTTCTGCTTTCCCAATAAATATCAGCCACAAGAAATTGGGGTCCGAATCCCATTTTGAGAAACACCAAATCGGCCCTCGATTCCTTGGCATGGGAATACACGGACCTGGTGTGCCCCAGTTGAGTAACAAATCTAAACAAGGACAACCGTCACAAATGGGGGGGGGAACCTTGCAAAAGCACAAATAAATTTCAGGGGATCTGTGGCCCTGCTTGTTGTTAGGGACCAGCATGGACCAGGCGATTCGTTTTATGAGGCGCACCGTTCACGTACAAAGTAAAACGTAGCATTGCCCAATTCAAAAAGACATGCGGCCAAGTCAAAGGGTATTGCCCAAATCAGAACTTGCATCGAAGTATAGTCTTGCCAAAGTCTTCACTAATCCCTCCAGTCCTTTTTGAGAGCAGCTCGACTTTTCTAGCAACTTCGGGCCTTGTGTACCTTACCCGCCTCGGCTGGAATGAGCTTTGTTCAAGACTGAACAGAAGGTGGGAGGGTACAACTACAATCGAACCTGACGAAACCAACTGGAGAAGGTCAGCCTTGTTTTTTCTGTGCGAATCGAATGACACGCAACAACCGATCCCTTGCAGGCCATGCAAACCTCTTTCTCAGCCACTTGAAATTTGTGGGTCGACAACCCCTGGGACTCAAGATCCACTAACTCTTATGGACTGCTATGGATGGCCCTTTGTGACGTTACTGGAATAACTATATACATATACATATATATATACTTAAATATATATATATATATATGTAGTGGCTCAAGCAAGCACGACTATTTTACTCTATAGTGTTATTTGGCTTAATTATTTAATGTTCTAGGTCCTCGAGTAGAGAGGTAGGGGAACCCTCCCCCAAAAAAAGATACGGTAAAAGGGCACGGACCTAGTGTCGGTTTGTTGCCACAGACCACATCGACCGCGGGTCGTCCCTTCGCGTTTCAGCTGTGCGCTCAAGGCTTTCGCTCGGGTCCCAGGTGGACTTGGCCAGTCCGGAGATTTCTGCCCACGGGAAGTGCTGCTGCTCAACGGTGCGGGAGGGAATGAATGACGGCTCCAGGCTTTTGGGAAGGAACCGGTGTTGGGAATGGACTCCCTTAAAGAAAACCATAAAAGATTCGGTTTTTGGGGATTCCCGTAAAGGAAACCGTAGCGCCGTAGGGGATTGTCAAAAAAGGGTCGTTCCATTTCTCTTTTTCCTGCTGAGAACCAGCAAGTTTTGGCAGGAATACACGGGCCATGTGTTCGACAGTTGCTTTGTTCAGCCCGAACACGACCTGTCCAGTGAATGAGGCGTTTTCCAACTGCCATATTCTGCCCATCGTCCCGTCCCCATCGGGTCAAAAGGCCAAAGCGCCACCCATCCAGTTTCTGTGTCACATGGCTTTGGCTCAAAACAAGGTATCCCAAAATGGCCTCGGCTGCGAAATCTGCTCCCCATGCTAAAAGTGAATAACTTTTAGTGGTTTAATGGAGAACCCATTAGTGGCAAAAAGTTAAAGTCCTAACATCCAAGCAAAATACACCAAAATGGCACTCTGGTAACCCAGACTAAAACCTGTGTTTTGCCACAGACACCTATTTCGTCGAAAGCTGAGACCAACTAATTAGGCCACCAGACTGTCTCAATTCCGGGAAGGGGATTGCGTTCGCCATAAGGGACCAGTCACTTCACCAAAGTCGTTCCAACCTTGCCCACTGGATCCCAGGCCATTCGCCAATCTCAACTTCTGGTTTTCAAAGCTTGGCTCCCTTGTACTATACAGGGACATGGAGTCACCGGGTTGGGGTTCAGTTTGCACCAGTTTGCAGTCAGAAGCTCAAACTCTGGACTTGAAGCAATTGAACAGGGTTCTTCAGTAAGGCTACTTGGCGGGTGAAGAGTCTTGCTAGCACCACACCGCGAACGGCTGCTTGTCGAACTGCACTTAGTTTGTGGAAGTGGGGAAAGCATTCGTGGTGGGGTGCTGGTGGATGTCAATCCTGCCAACTGATTCAACTCGTCCAGTACACTCTCCCGTGGCAGCGAATCCGCACGCATCGGATTCCTCAGAGCGAGCCCTGAAGCGAGGCGCTTGTTCCTGACTTCCGGCTACCAAAAAACGTGCACACACAGTCACATCACACATGTACTTGCTTTGGGGAAACACTTCACCTGGAAAACCGCAGGGTGCCAGCTGTGGGGTCTTCCCCATCCCAGAAACCAAATCCGAACCAATCCACACCCGAGGCAGGCTCCTTCCCAGGGTCGCCTGTAAATCCACACAAGATCCAAATGACCAAACAAATTCCGGGATCCTTCAGGCAAAACCCTGATGCGAAATGGAATTTTGTCCGGGTGCTGCTCAATACATGATTAGAGTTAGGCCAAGTTATAGAATCATTGAATGTATATTGTATTTTTTGCTTCACATGGAGTCGCTGGTAAAATGTAAAATGTATCCCAAGTCTACCCCAGAATACTCGCTTACTTTTTCATTCAGGGAGAGCGCCAGCTGTTTGCCTCGCACCTCGCACTCACCTTGTGCCGTCAGGGTGTCGGGCGCGATTCAGCAAGCGGTGGAAAGAGGGGAAGAAGTTTGATCATGAATCTAGCTCTGCTATTCCAAAGGGGATTGGTATCACACATGTGGCTTCCCTAAAATGGTTGGCTTCCCTAGCAACATATCAACCAAGGGCTGGTCCGAAAACCATTTTGAGAAACCCCAGTTCCCACAACCACCGTGGAAGTTCTCAGGTGGAGTGCATAGGCTTCGTCATGCTGTTCGAGGACGCCCTGCATTGTTTTCTTGGGTGACAAAATGAAATTGCAAAAATCACCAACCGCACATCATATCCTGCAAGGAATTGTTCACGGGCGAAATCGCCAGACTGCTGCTGAGGTGTGCATTCCGCCGCCCGCAAATCTGCCCGAACTGCTTGGCCCAGGCACTAATTCAATATTTGGCCAGTCGCAACTTGCAACCCGGATGAAGATGCGTTTCTGTGTGTGCTTTCCCCATTAGCACGGTGGATGTATCCCTCGCACCTAGGGACACAGCTCCCCGCAAGGTGGATGCCCTAGGCCATTCCAACATGTTGGGAGAAAGGGGATGAAGATCTGGAAAGCTTAAACCAAAAAACCGACTTACTCCGTGGGTTGATTCTCAAGGCAGCTTTGGAAGCCAACCCACGGCTTCTGCAATCCACCGAGTTCCTTGCCCAATCTCTGAGACTTGAATAGGACTGGTGGTCTAACATTCCTGAACGAGAATCCCTACCAAAGGGTGTAATGACTATGGCACATATAAGTGTGTGTGTGTGTGTGCGCAAACACATAAATATATAGTATAAATAAAAGTCTACAACTGCTAACAGTGATGTACACCATCATAGAGTACAGTGCTGCAACAAGGCCTCCTTCGCACTACTCATCCGGTTTGAACATCGCGATCGCCAGCCACTGCACCTCACAAACCTGAGGTCGTGCAGATAGTTAGACGATTGGCACCAGCATAAGAAACGTCCGGGACGGACGGGTAGATAGTTTCTGCCCTATCCGTCCGGGCTCGTTGTCCAGACGCTAGCGCTTAGGCATCCATCTGTTCTCGGCACGCGACGCGAGTGATCCTTTCCGCAGTGGGATTAGGCGGCCAGCGCGCCGCAAATTGGGCCACCCTCTGTAGGCTGTAGCCCAGGCCACATCGAAAAAGGCAGCATGCAAAGGGGCGCAGCACATATCCGCCAGCCCAGACAAGCACCAGGCTGGCGATAAATGGGCCCCAGTCTGCAGCAGTTAATAGTGCAACATGTAAGCGTTTGCAATTGGCACTTATCCCCTTCCCCATCAACTTTCTGAATATGTCCCCTGAGATTGCACGTGTCATCAGCTGCATTGCCTGCATGGTGACTTCATGACTACAATCCAGATCATCCCTCACGGCTTGAATGCGGGCACTGATCCTTTCATAGAACTGTCAGGAGCATGGCTCCCTACAAAGGGCCTCATGGGCCTGAGTAGATGTCCCTTCAGGTTGATCAACTTGCCGATGATTTCCATTGAACATGCCGCGAAATGGGGGTTCCAACAAATGGACGTGGACACCGAAAACCTGCCATAGCCACTTGGACTCCCAGCGACCGTCTTGGCACATGCCCCGTGTCCCAAAACGAAGGTCGTGCACGGGGATACGTGGATTGACCCTCAAAGAAGCTCAACACACAGGTTACCCCTTCTGGCCTTGACTATCAAACAACTCACTGAACAACCAACCTACTCACTTGATGCACTTCTGACAAATTACAACCCAAAATCATTTGATTTATGTTGCAGGTAGGGTTCTAGTGGTTTGCTTTGGGTACTGCAGGGCCTCGCAAGTGGGTAAGCTTTGGCGAAAAATCTGAGAGCTCAACTTGTGTGTTTTGCAGCCTGCCTTTCCGAGGCCCAGCATAACTTGCATAAAGCGGAGCTTCTCGCTTGCTCCTGGCAGAGAGATGGTGTTGGCTTCCTGCCTGTGCAAACCACTCGGACCGGGGGGCGGGGGGCGGGTGATGCATTTTTAGTACTCGCACGTTGATATTCCGTGCGCTGGTCTCAAATTGCGAAACCCCTCACTGGGTTCTCGCCCGGAGCCGCAAAAAGCAAGACTTGCGATTCTGATTCTAGCGACTACTTTACTTGCTGGTGCTCAGTAGGGAATGAGGGAATGAACCTGGGGATTCCCATGAAGGAAACCACAAGGGATGGTTTATAGGGGTCATTCCCGCACCTGCTAAGCACCATCAAGTTGCCGCAAAGTGCTCAACTGCTGCTGGGTGACTTTACACGGAGGGTGTCTGTGAATGGCACCAACGCAGTGCTGCTGAAAAGAGAAGGATGCCATGATAGCCAAAGATGTTACAATCATATGGTCAGTACAGTCAGCATGAACCAATGTGAAGCTGACATGAACTCATGCCCGTGCTTAAACTCGGTTGCTCTCTGCTCCCCTGCAAAAAGTTTAACTGTTAGTGGGTTTAATGGAAAAAACCATTAGTTGGCAAAAAGTTAAAGTCCTAACATCCAAGCAAAATGCACCAAAGTAAAGTAAGCCAACATGAAACCAGTGGGGTACCGATGTCTTCGCGCTACGGGATGCCCCTCGTTTGTCCTGACTGTCCGATCGGCAAACAAAGACTGCCCGCGGGATTCCCCTTACTTTCTGCGCAGGAGGATTTAGTTACCCCAAATGACCTGACTGGGCTATCCCAAATTGGAGGGTTCGCCAATACTATTCCATAAGCCTAGGACGATTATGTGAAATGATTAACTTTGAACCACCCAGTTTCCCTTTAGGGCAATGTGGACCCCATATTCATCAACCCCAGTTTATTCACAGGGGGGTGGCTTTTGTCCCCTCCAAAAGTGGTCTGAATCCCCATTAAAGGGACATCCCCCTATGAATTAAATAACTGGGGGTGACTACTATCGGATCAACATTACCCTAAAGGGAAACCCATGGATCACCTGGGTGAAGTTCGATGGGTGGTTCAAAGTCAATCCTTTCAGATAATTGTCCTAGGTCGACATGGTCAACATTAACTGGATCCACTTGGCTCAAGGCTCGCCGTCAAACGGCAAACGGCGCTTGCGCCGGCTTGCCCCGGCTCCCATGTCCTGCCTCAAAGGCGAGAGTGGGGCCTGGCGTCCAAAGGTGGCCTAGATATCCAGATCCGAAACCGTCACACGAGAAACCACCAATTGAACCGCCCCTCCCTGCCAAAGGTGCGGAGTCATGAAACTCCATAGGTCACTTCCACGGGTATGTGAGGCATGAGGCAAGTACTGCGCCGTGTTATTTATCTGCGTGAATCCCGCTATGACAGCTACACCCCCTTGCAGATTTCTTAGTGCTTGGGGGGATTGCCCAGGCCAAGGCTTTACTATTGGCAGTTGGTAGGGAAGTATCGAGTTTCGTCCATCCAAATGCGTCGCGTGGATGTGGTCCATCCACATTTTCCGGGTGCCTTGGCATCTTCGGAGATACTTCAGCCTTCATGTTGATCCTCAGAAACCACCAAAAAACACTTGCCCCCTCTGAAAATGAGGCAAGGGGATGGAACCAATGAATCAAGGACCCCAGCATCTCCTTTTCCCCCGGCGTGCCTCGCGCGGGGAAACACCTGGGAAGCCGTGTGCTTGTCTCCGAATTTGGCAGACCCACATGCCCAGTGGGCTGCCCGACGTCACCGGCGGTTCCCTTCAATAGAACCTTCAAGAATCTGAGAACCAAACACCCAGATTCTCCCTAAGTTGGATATCTCCCCCCTTGACCCTTGGGGATAGGGGAACTGCAGACCAATGCAGCCTCACGAACAAAAAAAACGTAAAGTGATGATCCAGCGACACCCCGATCCAGCCACATCAAAAACTTAAACCAAACAAATCCTTCCGGCCAGTGTGGGGGGCCTGGCTCGTAAACTTTGGGATGTCTTTTTCAGTTGGGGAGGGGCAACCTTGTCTTTTGTTGAAAATCAAGGCGGTTCTCTCAAACAACTGAAAAACACAGCGTATCAGGGGTCGCAACCTCGACATTGGTTTCCCCTCAGTTTCAAACCAAGCCCAAAAAAGGGTACACTCAAAAATGGGCTCGAAGAAATACTGCAAGTGGGAACCACCACCCCTTTCATCTTACAATTTATGGCACTTGAACTGCCACACGGTTGCACTCAGGCCGTGACTCCCAGCTCCTGGCGTGTGAAACCGGTCGCCCAACCGAGACGGGGTCCATGACTAAATATGGACCACAAAGAACGCAAGATTCGCTTTGCGCAAGTGAGTTCACTCTCCTTGCTTTTCATTTCCTATTGAGCATCACCCCAAAAAAGTCACGGGAGGTCATACTGCCAAGCTGCACCGTATTCACCGGGTAGCGTGATCCAAACAAAGATACCGAGCGCCATGGCGATTGAGACAAAATCATAGTCCTGGAATCAGAAGCAAGCGCTGACACATTGTGTACCAATTCAGAGAGACTCAAAGCCCAAGGGCTGCAACTCAGTTCTCTGATCCGTTCAGGGAAACTATTCATGGGATATATCACAAATCTTAAAATTCTGAAGATCTAGTCTATTCTAGTCTAGAAGTCTAAGAGCATGGCTGGGAATCTAGAATCGTGGCACTGCGTGGCAACGAAAAGAAACACATCGTGGAAGTGCATTGACTTGGATTGCTAGGGTGTTCTTCAGTTGACACCGACGGTAAATGAATGGGTTCATCCGGGCCGCATGGAGAGTGGGTCACGGATCAGCTTCCACCGCAAGACCCTGAAGACTTAATGCGGCTGTCTTGATCCGAAATGATCAAAACAGTGGACTCATCTGGGGCTGAAGGTAAGTAGATGGCACAACTCCCTCGTGGTAAACGAAGGGGATGACCCACCTGACCCATTCCTTGGCCAAGGTCCCCGCAACAAGCGCCGTTTACGATTCAATCCCAAATGATACAACACCGATTTGCACTCGGGCATCTAGAATCTTCGGCCCAAAAGAAGGTTCAATTACAGGAACAGAACTAGGTTGTGGAATCGCATCACTCATTGGTAGCCTAGAGATTCATGTAATTAAGATTGTGGAGAAATCAGGAATCATAAACATATCGAAACAGCTGGTCCAAGTTCGCTGAAAGAGTGGCAACATATCAATCCATCAGCCCCGGGGTTTTCCACGGCCAAATCCTTTGGCAACCCTAATGAAGGATGACAAAGGGAAGCCAAACCAAAAGAGGGTGAAATCAACCTATCTAGCTTCTGACCCTCGCCAACCGGACTTTCGAATAAAACAAGCCAGGAATTTCATTGCGGATGCCAAGAAACCCAACACAGGTGAAATTCATATCGCTTCTGACCCTAGCCAGCTACTGTCCAGGAATTTGAATGTGTTTGGCCGACTTCCGAGTTGTGGATCTTTTCATGCTATGATCATAGGTGTCCTTGGAAAATACATGGATTTTCTGGTAGATGAAACGGCCCAAACAACCACGAATCGCGATCGATATTCTGCCCACACCCAAAAGAACACCTGAGTCACACTCGAAACCTGGTACAAAAATGGTCTACACAGAACCATGTAAAGAAGTACCAAGGCGTCTGCACCAGCACTAACTATACTTCTTTTTGGACAGCGCTTGGGATTTTGGACACGAAAAAAAAGCAAAGAGGTGCTGGACACCGTTCCATTTTCTGCCCACCCAAAACGCCCGTTTACAAACGAACTCCAACACGAACCTAAGAAACCAAGGTTGAAACGGACCAGTTGGTATCTCCAATCGAATCGAATCCTTCCGTTGGGGTACTAGGTCCTCCAGTAGAGAGGTTAGAATAAGGGTGCTCGATATGTTTGTTCTGTAGTCTATTTTAGGGTTCGGAATCCTCCCAACCAACCAAAAAAGAAACGATACAAGGGCACCAATTGCTGGATTATAGTAGTTTTTGGAACCCTCCCTTCCAACCAGAAAAGAAACGATCAAAGTTGGCCCCAACTGCTGGGGGGGACCTCGGCTATGCTGCGAGAAGCGGTTTTTTAGCTCGTCCCCGCCTGGTGGCCAAGAGCCCCGCTGCCTGAACCGGAAAAAACAAAAACCTACAAGGAGCTTCAGGGAGCGGATCCGTAGTCTGCCCCCCCAAATATATATATATATATATATATATATCACATATATCTAAATATATATATACACATAAATCAGGGGGTGGTGAGTGTTCGAACTCCCTGTAGATCTTCTTGTTGGGTTCTGTGAGAAGCCCAAACTTGCAACATCATTCGGAGTCCAAGAATGGTTTGAGCAGCTGTGATCTCAACAAAACCACTAGGATGTCCAACCACGTCATGGAAGCTGACAAAGTAAGTTGCTCATCTCATCTTGATCTGGCTGAGTGGCTGTGAAAAAGTAATCACTCCTGGAAGATGTTGATAACATCCAGGTATGCTTCTACATAGATTCTAAGTATGATATGACAAACATGTGTTTCACCGAACATCTGAAGTTTCTACATTGTTTGCAAAACCTGAACTTCACAGATAAGCTGCAGATTGAACAGCAGGTCAAAATTGCAACCTGAAAAACATCCAGTGCCCTTCAAGTTTCTCTCTACATGTCAATGTGAACGGCGTGCCAAGCAACCGGACCCCAATAAACCTGTCTAGGGTACCCTTCTTTCTGTAGTCTATTTTAGCAGGGGAACCCTCCCCCCAAAAAAGGGTAAAAGGGCACTACTGGGGGACCTCCTGTGTTTTCCAGGGATCCGGAAGAAGGGCAGCCTTCTCCCTCCTAAGTGAATCCACCGCATTTCACCGAAGAAAAAAGCGGGGGCACTCGAGAGTGCCTGAGACGGCGACGGCAACCGACAGTCTGACTGGCGAGATAAAAAAAAAATCAGGGGGTCAAACCACCATACAAACAATGGTTGGCTTCACAACCATTGTTTACCCAAGGATTGCCATCATCCAAATTGGGTCCGTGCCATTCTCTTAATGGTGGTTGAACCCCAGGGTAAAGGAATCTTAATGTGAGAGGCCGCAAACATCTGAAGCCGGGATTTGGATTTTCAGATATAACACATGCGGATCCGGGGGGGCGGCATAGGGTCCAATGTCATGCACAAAATGACCGTGTCTGGACACTTAATTCTCATCATCGTATCCGAAGCCCGATTTGTAAGGCAAATCTTGGATGATGTTGAAGCGAGACCAAAAGGAGAACACAACGACAGCTTGAAAAGTCGATTTTTTGTTGGGAAACACCCTGTGCAATGCTTGGACCCTGCATCCTTACCAACTCGCGGAGCAGACCCAACCCTTATCTTAGAGCTACAAACACTGTGCTTGCGCTGCCCGCACACCTACATCGCAAAAGCAACAACCAAGAACAGAAGCCTCAAAAGAAAAGGCGCAAAAGCGGAAACAAAGAACAAAACAATTCCCCCGCCCCAAAGAAAACAAGAAGAACATCTTTGAAGTATCGTCATAAAAGGCGGTTTGGCTTGGTTTGCAATTCGAGGTTTTTGCCCCAAAAGAACAAGATGAAGCATTGAGAAGCCAAACTAGATGTTTGCTTCTAGATTTCACCTCTCTTCCATTTTGCTTCCAGATGTTTTTAGCGGACCCGAAACGGACTCTGAGAGCTTCCGCCTGCGAAGGCGCTGGCGAGGTGGGCCGGAGGCTCCTGGCAGACGCATGAAGCGTGAGGGTTGCCCCTCGGGGTTCAACCCCCTTCAGCCCTTAAAGGGGTTCAGTTGACGTTCAACAAGAAACCCGCTTTCCCATGAAAGAACAAGGGAAAACTTGACTTGGGTTTGGCAAATCTTGTCCACTTGTGTTGGAAAACCGCTATTTACATCACTCTAAAGGGTTCATGTATGAACACCCATCAGAGCTTCGTCTGTGCAGAGGGCCTCCTTGTTTCGACCGAATGGCTAGCCCCAAATAAAAGTCCGCAGAGTCGTCCAACGAACCCAAGGACTCTCCAACACACGGTCCCCCTGTGAAACGAATCTGCATTGAGAGAGGGTTGGGAAATGCTCAAAAGTATGTTGGAGGATTCTTGGAAGTAAGTTTTAACACTAATGGGGATCGAATCGGCGGCTATGGGGATATGCTGCCTGCGAATAGACTAGCTAGGGGCCCGCAATCAGCCCATGCTTCTTTACGGGATTTTAGCCAGGGGGTCTATGGACGGAAGATGCATCATTGAGAAGCCACCACACCACGGGGACAGGCTGCCACTGCACAGCTAGGGATACGTGAAGAGCCCAACAGAATCCTTGGGCCTTGTTCCTCGTGTCAGTTGGATATCCCATTGCCCCCATGCTTTGCCCAATTGGAAAATAGATCATCATTATACAGGAATCATTGCCAAGCAATGGAACAAATCCTACCTTGGAGTCTTGGCGGAAAAGCGCCACATCAAGAGATGGGTATCGACGAAAACGAGACCCTTCCCAACAGCAAACCCTCCCACCAACATGCTCGCGATCAAGGGCATAGTCCGACCCTGAAAGCAGCAGTGTTCTCCTCTGCGCAGAAAACCAAACAAGACATAAGATAATGTGACGGTACGATGTGTCAAACAATGGCCGTGGTCCTTGGGCTTCCCTCTCCTAAAAAAAATACACAAACCCACATCCCACATCTTAGTTTCGAGATTCCAGAGCATGGGTCCTGTCTGACTACACCAGTCTGAGACAGTTAGTTTGTTCAGGCCTGGACCACATACCTCTCAACCACGAAGTCCGAACTCTGTCTAGCTTGGCGAGGGGTTTTGGGCATTGCTCATTGAAGAAATGTCCAAACTCGCAAACTCACAACACGGGCCGTCAGCGCAAACTATGATGCCACATGTGTGCACATTGTTGTCCAGCGTGACTGACACATTGCCCAAGCCTGAGTTGAAAAGCAAAAGTGGACATTTTCTGTTGTCAAGGCTGGTATTAAAGGAGACGGTATACCGGCCCACAAAGCCATGTAAAGAATCAATGACTCAACCAAATTCTAATGTTGAATTCGTCCCTCACTCACCTTCACCTACCAAAGCTGTGGTTTTTGGCCACGGACACTCCAAGCACCCCATTTTGCGATTTCCCGGCGTCCCATGGTCGGCATCCTGGATCGCACCCTCCATTGGGCAGAGCTCCTGACGGGCGATTGGAACTTGCGCAGGTGACCTTTTTGGCGGGTACCCAGTGAGGGGTGGGGTTTCAAGGAACGCCAAAAGGAAAACCACCATTGGGGGTCCACAATTTAAAGTCAACACAAACAGGCATACAGATATATGATGCTGGGTGCTACATCGAATTCTGGGGTACTATTGAAAGGTATCCTACACATAGTGAGAATGGGGTAGCTGCACGTGATCATGAGGCTATGGTGATATGGGGGTACAGGTACTACGCTGGATGGACAAATTGCTACACCAGTTGGTAGATGCTTTGTCCCCTTCTTGAACTCGGGTTTCACGAATCCCAGCTGGTGCTCGCATTTGTTGGAGGGCGTTGTCGGAATGCTGGTTGTAACACAGACCCTGCATTAGCATGGCCTGCATCTAGCTCGCCAGAGGGGCGCCCTTCCAGACTCCCAATTCATCAAGTCGGAGAAATGGCCGCAGTTGAAGGGGATTTGAGGGCCAGGGATATGAATCCTAGATCACCCCAGGTGGGTTCAAGGATAATTCTCTCTGCAAGTAAGGTTGACAATCACAAGCAAAGTCACTGGAGTCGCAATGAAAGCCGTGTAGAGAAAAACCCAAAGCCAATATTTAAGTAGAAGAGTTTTCTTGGCCATCCGTACAAATGTACTAGCATTTGGCGATGAATGCTCAGCATTCCTTGTTCCGGCAAAAAAGGCAAAAAGTCGCCCCCTGGGAAGAAAACACAATCAGGAGAAGCCCGGAACTGGAGGTTGATCAATATGCCTTTTCCCCAAGTGACCATGGGTAATTTTTGACATAGTGGGAAACAGCATGTTTTAGTGGTTGCCCCAATGGTCATCCCATGTCAAGGACCTGATCAACTCCCAAATCTGCACCATGAGTGCCCAAAGGCCAACCCGCCTCGCTCGCAAAGCCCGCGGAGATGTCACAAAGGTTGTCCTGGGGTCCGATCCGAAAGCCTAGCACTATAATACCCCTACCAATCAGGTTAGGGTCCCTATGGCTCCCTATAATTCTTTATGGGTTCCTATGGGTCCCTGTGGTTCCCTATGGTTTGCTGTGGTTTTCTGTGGTTCCCTGTGCTTCCCTAGGTTCCCGTATGGTTCCCTGTGGTTCCTTGTGGATCCCTATGATTGGCTCCCAATGACTTCCCATGGTTTCACTTTATGGTTCACCATGCTTTTTTGGGTTTCCTACGGTTCCTTGGTCGCCACTGGCTCCCAATGGCTCTCCATGGTTCCGCAGCTCCTCCCAAATCTTCGGTAGGTGCTAATTTTGGTGCCTATGGTGGATGCCAATAAAACAAATAGTAAGGGAAATCCTTTGAACTACCACAATGGTCAAAGGTGTGTTTGGATGTGGCTGGCTCACCAATGGGTGTGTATTGTTTCTTGTCAAATACCCTTAGGCTGTGTTTGCATGAGAACCAAAGAACACCCCGCAACCCAGTGAGTAGAGGTATTCCCATAGGGAATGCACACTGTTTGCTTCGAAACCTACGCGGTCCACGCTCGAGGGGCGCCCATCAACGCAGCCTTTGCCCCGGACGAAAATGGCAAGCTCACATTCTGGTCCACATTCAGTGATCGTGAGGCGTAAGGTTAATTTGGGAGTTCATTCGGAGCTGGGCTGCTCAGATCCCCCCACTCAAAGTTTGTCTTTCAGTGGCTTAAATGGACATCCTAAGGAACCGGAGGGCTGAGAACCAGCAAGATGAGAAATCCCTCAAATGCGCAAGCACAGCTGCCAAGTATGGTCCCCCCAAAAGCTGGCCTCACGGGTGCGTCGTTTCCTGTTTGGAAGGTCGTCTGCTGCGGGAAATTTCGGCGGGCCCCACACAGGAAAACCAATTACTAGGACTGTTGTCGGTTGCTTTGATGATGTCAGCAGAAACCTCAATAAGCTCAGGTGATATCCCCAACAGCATGCGGTGCTCTTTTTAGTGCTCGCACCACCCCGCAGCCCTCGCAGAACCTCGTGGAAATCTCGTGGAAATCTCGTGGAACCCTGGTGGAACCCTGGTGGAACCCTCGCGGAACCTTACCTCCGGGCCGCCCCGGACCACCCCGGAGCCTATCTGGGCTGAGACCCCAAAGCTTTCAGCTGTTGGGGGAAAAAATGGTGAATGGACAACATCCTGCATCAGTTGGGAGGCGGTATACCCCGTGATTTGCAGAGTTTCTTCCATCTCAGCTGCTAAATTTCGTCCACCAAACGACCACGGCGGACTCGGCTCGCGCCGCCTGCCCGGCTCGACCCCGCCACTTGCCCCGTCCGCGTTCATGGGCGGCGAGCTTTGCGCCAAGCCCCCGGCCTGCGGCAATTCCGGGAATTTGAACATTCAGGGGTTTGGGTGGGGCTGGGCTGGGGGGTGCGTTTTTTGTAAGGTGGTATGGCCTGTGCCCACCATGTTGGGAGGGTAATGTTGACCCCATACTAATCAACCAACCAGTTTGGATTCCCAGAAAGGTGGTTTTGGCCCCTCCAAAAGTGGTCTGATTCCCCACGTTTCACCCAGGGACACCGGGACCCTTATTAATAAAGCAGTAAACTGTATTGATATGGGGTCAACATTAAACCAGCCACTTAGAAACCAGGGAAGGATTTCCCACTCAAAATGGACCCCCCCGTAATGAAACCGGTGGGGGTCAGCAGTCAAACAGGCTCCGGGAATGGAAAGAAGAGGTCCAAACCTTTCTTTAAACTTGAACTCTCTTCGTGCTAGAGGGGCGACTCTGTTTCGGGGCATCTGGGGGCATCCGAACTATTGGCGTGCACACACACGCACACACATGCGCATGCAGACGCGCATGCTTGCTTCAACACATGTTGCTTGCACTTCTTTTTGGCACCCAGCCTTTGTGGGACGGGTTTTTTAAAGAGATCTTCCAGGAAAGCAACCCCAGTTGTGGGGTCCCCTGTTTTGGCACATGCCAACTCATATGCGTTTAAACACGAGGCCCCCCTTTGTGGCCTTGAAAGTTGGAAAAATTAACAAACTATCCCCTTTGGGCTTGCAGGGGAACCTTCGCACCCGGCAGTTTCCATTTTGAGACGAGCCTACATTTGAAGCTTCTTAAAATTTGGCGACCCCCAAACCAAAAAATCGTCGCTCCGGTGTTCCCCATTTTTCCTTTGAGCCACCCCCAGAGTCCCAGAGTTCGCTTGCCCTGGGTTTCCTATAGCCATGGATTTCCATGCCTTTCCCCTCCAAGCCCAGGGTCACAATACCAGCCGCCTTTCCCCTCCAAGCCCGAGGTAACAACACCAAGCCATGGATTTCTCGGTTCCTCTTGGTTTCCCCTCCAAGCCCCGGCTCACACCAGCCACCCACTCCGCGGCTCCGCTTTCGCTCCGCTTTCGCTCCGCGGCTCCGCTCGCCTGCAGCATGTTGAGCCGGTGAAGGGCATCCGGATGCCCACGCGCGACAGCCTCAGGGCTGAAGCCGCTGTCTCCGGTATCGAGTTTCAGACCCATTAATCGCTGAGGTGAGTTTTTCCAGCAGCTCGCCCTGTTGTCAAACAAACACAGGGAGTTTGAAGCAACACCCATTGAGTTCTTGAAGCGACACATGGACGTTTCACCTGACACCCCTTGTTGATCTCAAGTCCCGGCGGCTTTCCTTGGGGCTGAGGAGCAGCCCCGAGGCCAAGAGGGGGACAGCAAAACCCAGCCGGGCAAACCAATTTGGTGCCAAGCAGCTCCCCCCCCAAGACGCTCACCCAAAAAAAAAAAAAACGGGCCCCACTGGAAGGATGAAAGGGAAACCTTGGAATGAGTTTTCTTTGCGTGTGTCCTGGGTGTGTCCGTCTCTGGAAGGTACCCTGTTTGGGACTGCGTTGAAAGGCACGCCAAAAACCAAGACCGTGTTTGAGGCAAGTGCACTGCTATTTATGAGGAATGAGAGTCTGCAGCGAATAGTACCACGCGGACACGATCCAAAAAAACACTTTCACTACACAAAGTAGAGACTTCCCACGCGGAAACACACAGAACCCTCTGTTTGGAAAACAAAAACACCGTTTGGGAGTCGCCAGAGATGCCGGTTGGCGTGCCGGTCTATACTTGAAACAAGTGGAAACCCTAGAAAGTGTCGAGCACATCATCCAAGCTCATCCGCGAAGCGTCTGGCAATGAACCATTGGCCCACAATTAAGAAACACAAACAAACAAACAAACAAACAAACAAACAAACAAGCAAAGAAACAATCAACAAAACAAAGAAGCAAGCAATCAAACAAACAAACGAAGAAACAAACAAACAAACCAAACAAAACAAAAAGAGAAAAGCAAAACGAAGAAACACACGACCGAGCAACCAAACAACACAGACAGACAGACAAACAGACGGACAGACACAGACAGCCAGACAGAAAGGCAAACAAACAGACAAACGGACAAACAAACAACAGGAACCGACACAAGCAAAAGCACAATCAAACTAACAAACAAAAATCAATCAACAACCTATCATAAGAAGTGAAGAAGGCAAGCAAGCAGGTCAGGAGGCAAGCCATCACGCAAGGAAGAAAACAAACAATGCTCTTCTAGGTCCGTAGTCTATTCTAGTAGGGGAACCCTCCCAACCAAAAAAGAAACAGTACAAGGGCACACACACACAAAAAACAAAACAAAAACAAAAAAACGACATACCAACAACTTGTACAATCAAGCGGAGATTCGTTTCGGAGCGCCGCGCTGGCCTCCAAGTACCACCTCCGGCAGCAGCGCTCCACCGTTGCCCTGTCCTGGCGATTGGGTATCTCGAAAGGACTGCAAAAGAGATCCATAACGGAGACCCTTCCTATGTATTTTGCTTGGTTGGTTATTGGCATGTGCCTCTCGAAAGGACTGCAAAAGGGATCCCTAACGGTGATCCTTCCCAATATGTCGTTTGGTTTTTCGGGGATGCGCTCTGCTGAAAGCCGAGCGCACGCAGCGGTTCGAAAAGTGAAACGTGTTGCTTGGTTTTGTTTGCTTTGTGGCTGCGCATGCCAAGGCAGGTGCTGTGTGCGCTCACTCTTTTTTTCTCGGAAAAAAAGCCCTCGGAACGTCCTCGGCGCGCTCTTGCATCTGGAGGCGTTCCACCTCAAAGCCGGGCTCCCGTCGCACCGACCGATTCACCGAAAGGGGGCCGTGGAGGTCAAGCCAAAACTTCCATTTGCTTAAGCCCTCTGAAAAAAATCCTGTAGTGATAGAGTCCCTTTAAAACTAACAGGGTTAAAAAACAAAAAACAAAAACTCTTAAGCAGATGGAAGAAAAGGGAACAAATTGGTTCAAACCAAAGAACTGTGGATTCACTGAAGGTCTCTTCTAGGGTTTCAAAGTCAGAAGTCACTAGTCCAAGTTAGGGCTGTGAACTGCGACAACAAGCAGCCTCCCAACCAACCCAACCAACCCCCCGGGTTCAACCAACCCCCAACCCCCCGTTTGGCAACTTCAAAACGAGAAACCGATTCCTTGAAAATAACTCTGCTCGGGGTGGGGTGAAAGGAAAATTACGAGGACACCCGGCATTTTGGGGGTCCAACCTTATTACCAAAACCCCCCACCCAAACCCCACCCCCCAACCCCCAAGCAACCACCCAGCCCCGCAAGCATTGCATCGAGGCCCCACACATCTCCCAGCCACAACGGCGCCCAGGCGCTGCCTGCCCCTGTGGCTGCGCCTGAGCCCAGCTTCGGGGTTGAGCAGTTCCATGGCACCAGTTGTTGCAACGCATGCTGACCCCAGAGTAACTGTGAAACGGGGGCGGGGGGGGGGGGGCTGTTCTCAAAATACCCGTTCAAACACAATTCGGGGTCTACATGTCACACTACAGGGTTCATTAATCCATTCATCCGGGATCAGCATTGCGAGTGATAAAAGTGTTAACCACTATTCGCTCAAGCAGTTGACTTTCAGCTTAACAACCCAGCCAAGGGGTGGGTAAAAAGCTTTGACCACTTGTCAGGCCAGCTGCAAAACCCTGTGCAGTGCTAAAGTTGCAACCACTTTTCAGGCCAGGTGGCCCAGTGGATTGGTGTTGACCCCAGGTTTCACGGAAAACACGGTAACCTTTTGCGGGTACAAAAGTGGGGGGGGGCTTTTTTTGGCGGGGAAGTGAAGGGCCAGGAATCCACTGAACCGGGCCTGGCCAAATGGGCATGGGAAAGTGGCTTTCAGATCCTTCCAAGGATGCAATAAGAGAGTGGCCGATGCGAATCATGATTCACTTGTCCAAAAGGTTGAAGGAACAGGCCTCCCAAAAACAAGGGTCCCAAGACATGATTTGAGGTCTTTGGGGGCCAAAGGGCTTCATATGGTTCTTGGGACAGCTGTCATGTGCCCCGATCGTAACCGAACCAACGGCCTTTGGAAAGTGAAGGATCTTGGGGGCGAAGGTTCGAAAGACCAGCCACCATCAAAGTGGCAACGCCTTGTCCTCCTGGTTTGGGCTCGCAAAATAGCAATCGGAACCCCAAAACGGATGGCGTCCTTTTGGCTTCCTTTTGAAACCATCCAACACTGGCACTCGTTTGGATATCATTGATACTAGTGTTTGCATGCAGCCTTGAGTGTCGAAAGGACCATGTTGATGGGGTGAATGAAAAATGCCATAATTCGCCAACCAGAAACAACGGTTTCACTTGAGAATGAGCCACCACCTTTGTGAGGTTGCGGCATTGTCTCTGATTTTTGTCACGCTCCTGCGCTAAGCAAGGCACGCAAGGCGCGGAGCATGCGGGGCAAATCGACACTGCCTCGCCGGATCCATACGCCGATGGATCACGAGCCATGAGCCCTGTGCGTTGCAAATGGGAAACCCCCACGGCTCCAAACATCGGAAGCACTCAATGCTTAGAGCTGGGCGTATCTGGGCGGATTTTCCCTTCTGTTTGGGTGGATCCCAACAAAATCCACTGAATGGCTGAAACTCAATGGCACTCTCAAACCCAATGGGAGGTCGTTTCTTTGGTAGACATTGAGCACCAAACGTTTGGAAGGTACATTCTCGAAACTTAGGATTCAGCTGATGCCGTCCGGGCAGCGAGTGAAAACGACACCACCAACCATTTTGGGTCCCCAAGTCTTAGACCTAAGCCCTTTGAGCACCCACAGACTGGGATGTGACACATGTTGGAGCTTACGACACAATTGGCCATGCCACAGCTACCCGTGTAGATGTGCTCCTATCTCCTCCCTGCGCGATCATTTGGCTATGTTTGCTTTAGGGTCCCCCCCATTGAGGATTGGTTTTTCACCTAAATGCTGTCCCCGATTCAAAGTCATATCCATTTGGGTGTGGCTCAACAAAAAAATTGAGCTAGGGCAAACCCCAGGTAGCCTTTCCTTCCCTTTACCAAGAAGCCTTTTCTTGCCGGTTCTCAGCATGGAACGAGTTTGAATGACCCCCTTTTACCCATCGCCTCTGGCTTCCTTTAAGCGAATCCCCTTCCGGTTCATTCCCAAAACCCGGAACGGTCATTCCCTACCTATCGCACCAGCAGTCAAGGTACAACGCAGGATGTCCAGTGCATTCTGCTTTGAAATTACAGCAACTGACAGCAACCACGTTGCCCGTCAGACAACACGTGGTCGAAAGCATCAGCTGAAAAGTCTTCGGGTTTCCTGAGAAGCCATGTCCATTTGCTTTTTCGCCCCCTGAAAAAAAAAAAAAAAAAACACCACAGTAGTGATCGATTCCCTTTAAAACCAACAGGGGGAAATAACAAATATTTGTTTCAGGCAAACGGAAGATTTAAACACGGGCGCCAAATCCGGAATTCGCCTGAGAGACCTCCGGCGACCAGCGCTTCTGCCAGGTAGGCCTCCGATTTTGCGGATTTTCCGAGCTCGGGCAGTTGAGGTGCGCGGTCAAAAAAAAAAAATCCTCGGCATGTCGGTGCGTCCTTTTTTTAGGGCCCCATCCCTGAAAGGGGGGTTTGTCTTTTTTGGTTTCACTTCAAACCAACGCAAAATTGGTACCCTCAACAACGAACACATGGGTGGGTGTTCCTTTTGGCTTCACTTTAATCACAAACATGGTACAATAGAGAGAGCACTTTTTCCGATGCTTCTCCTAGGGGCTCGTCGCTTGGTTGCGATTGACATTTGGCTCCATCCCCCCCTTCTCCCTCAATGACCATAGACACACAATGGGTTACCCAAAGAAAAGGAAACGTATACGCACGACCACCAAAGCAAGACCCCACGCTCACGTAGAAGGCCCTCTGGCTTGGAAAAGGGCGTTAACAGGGAAGACGCAAGGGGGGGTCATTTCCCCCCAGGATTGAAGTCTTTGGGATTCACCATCGGGTCCCCGAAATGCTTGGCCGATTTAGGCCGTTTGGTTCCCCTTTCCAAGACGAAAAAAGAGGGACTTACTTACTCATTGGAACATGACTCTCCGGGCACTCCTAAACCCGCAGGAAGGATGTTGGCTCGGCACTTCGCCTTGTCCGTGTACCCGCAAAACTGGTCGACCCCAAGATGTATTCTTGTCATTTGTGTTGGTACCCTTTTCACCGTCTTTACAAAGAGAGAACACACATGAAGTACCATGTTCAGGGTCCTCCTATTCTGACACCTGCTTTACCAAACGGAGAACACAAAAATAAATAAATGAAAATCCTGAGCTAGGGTGGTCCTTTGGTCCCTGTTTTGAGACCAGTTTGGCATGTCTCCAAGAGTACACCAGCACTTTTAGGCTCTGCATGATACCAACAGTGGATATTGTTATTGTTAATTGTTCTTATTATACTTGATTTCAAACTTTTTTCTGGGCCTTACTAAAAGGCTGGTTTTCCTTCTATAAAGTTTCCCCTTACCCCCTCAAAAACCTGGGGGGTAGCCTCAAAAACAGGTACCACACCCCAAGGGAGCCTCCTTCTCGGAACCCGAGAAAGTGAGGATCACCTCCGAGCCGTTGGACACCACCTGAGATCTGAAAAGCTGGCGGAACATCGCGTCGGAAAGTTGAGGCGCCAGTTCGGTGGTCTGGGAACCTGGCGTTGTTTTATCTCTCTTTGTTCCGGTGTTTAGCCGTTTTTAGCGTTTCTTTTTAATCGGTTTGTGGACCAGTTCGGTCTGGGACGCTGAAACTTCTCGTCGGTGTTGTATCGGTTCTTGAATCTATGCCAAAGTGGGGTTTGTCAGTATGGACCATGATTTGTGGGGGTTTATCTGAAAAGCGGAGTTGGTCAGTATGGACCATCCCCCGAGTTTTCCACTAGGGATCCAACTGGCAAAGGGGATGATTGAAGGCTTGCACAATGCGGTACACTGAAAATCAGACTTGCCAGAATATGCTTCACATTCAGCCCACCCAGTGAATCCCAGTTACCACTCTAGCAGGTACCAAGAAATGTCCTTCTTGGTTTTGAAGGGTGGTTCACTATGCAGGTAAATGGAATCACTGGGCTACCTAAAACTGTTTTGGAGGAGACCCCAGCCAAACGCCTCTCTCGATCATCCCAGAGTTACAAACCATGTTCTTTAGAAACCAGAACTGTTTTTTGGGGGTCTGGGCATATCGAAAGAAATGGGCCATCTGCTTTTGGCTTCCCTGTGTTTAAACACACATATGGGTGTGTCCTTTTTGGAGGGTAACCCCCCCCCTTCTCGTGGCTTAACAAAGGAACCAAAAGACCCCCACTCCCTGGCTCAAACATAGGGATCGGTGGAACATGCGGTCCCCCGCTTGGATTTTGAGCCACATACCACCTGGGTCACTTGCCTGCTTTTTAGGTCCAAAACTCCCCGGTGCAGGGGTCACTGGATTTCCACACAAAAGTTGATCGATTTACTGGTGGTTTCCCTTGAAACAACCACTTTTGGATGTTTCAATAAGAGACACGGCTCGGAAACCCCGTGGTGTGCCATTGATCGCACGCACAACACCACCAACGACTTTCATCACCCGAATAGTTCCCAGTCCTGGCACCCCAACCTCGGCGAAGCGCTGGATCTCCAGGATGACATGCGCCTCTCGTTTTTGCCCCGTCTGGCTTGGTCCGGCCCGGTTGAACCAAAAATCCGAAACAGGTGGAACCAAAAAAAGTGGCTTATGCTCAGATGCCCAGAGGATTTCCATGTGAAAAAAGGGCATCCTTGTTTGGTTGGTTGACGTTAAAGGGGAACGCTACCCCGAAAGAAAGGAATAAAGGGCATGACTGGGCAACTGGGTATGTGTGTAAACCCCAAAAAGTGGTTAGGCACTTCGAAACATTTGATCCTGGAAACCCAACATGAAGCTGGGAGCAACCCTCTGAGGACGAAAGGGCACTGGAGGTGGGAACTGATCACCTGCCAAAGCTGCCAAATTCAATGGTTCAAAACGCTCTGGTGTAAGCTGCCTGCCAGTGACATGCGTCCGCTTGCCGCGCCTAGTCTGGCATAAAGCTTCCAACTCTGCAGCTGTGTGTTCGAAGTGTTTTTGGGCGACGCTTCTTGAGAATGAGCATGAAACCAGCCAATTTGGACAGGTTCCGAGCGGCTTTGGAGTTCAAATAAATTTGCTGTATCCTGAAACGAGGGCCCCTTTTGCGAGAACACCCTGGTGATCTCACCATTCCTAAGAAACACCCATAGACTCGGCCGAAACACGGACAAATTTTGGCGCGTGCCCCTTGTGGCTGAAATCTTGTGAGTCCCCCCATGTACCGAACTTCAAATTCCCAGTTCAGTGACATACAGCGGTGTCCAATCCCCGCCCCCTCCCCACCCAAACCCCAACCACCCAGCCACGCGCCCACACAACAACAACCACACACATATATATATATATATATATGCACGCAGACACACACACACACACATGCACACGCACACACACCCACACAAACACATTTACACACACACACACACATCCACATGCGAAAACATTCGCACATTCAAACATTCACACACACACACACACAGACCCTCCCCCGATCCAAGGGAGGAAGAACAGACCTTCGAATTTGTTCCGAAAGCTCCGAAATTGCGGAGGTTCAGCCTATTGCGATCCTGCATGTTTAGGGCAAAATAGGACGTGTGGTTGTAGAGGTGCCCCCTGCATTTTGTCTGATTTATTGCCATAGGCACTGGATGTATTGACCGAACCCTGTGTGATTATAAGGTTGTCAAATGGCTACGAGTATTTGTGAAAATAGGGGGACCCCTAAATGATCCGTATCCTTTGAGTTTCCCTGTCAACCAACCCAAGAAGAAGGGTTCACCCTCAAAGCAAAACACCTCCAACTGATTTCTGCGGTGTTGAGGTTGCCATAGAAAGGTGTCACAGGCAGTCCTCGAGGCATGCTTCTGGATATATTTGGACTGAACCTCATCAGCCATTGGGGTGTTTCTCAAACAGGGGACCCTTTTTGGATGGGTTCTGAAGGAAAACCAAGACGAACCCACCACCTTAAGGGGTCCCCAATTTTGAGAACCTCCCGTTGCTCACAATCCGCACAAAAAGACGAGGCCTGGCTGAAAAAACCCCTAAGCTCCAGGCGTGCTTGTACATACCCCTTTTACATACTCCTTGGGAAAATGAGCCCCAAAAGGCCTGCGGATGTTCACACCCCTCTCCCCAACACGGGTATACCCCATATCAAGCGGCTAACCAGGGAAGCAAAGGGGTATAGGGGTATACTTCCACCCTTCGAGCCGTTTCTTTTGCCTCCACTTTACCTGGTCTATGGGCCCGGCAGAGCGAGCTTTCCATGGGAAACTGCCCCCGCCTCTTCGCCGATGGGGCCTTTTGCTGGTACCGCGACCTCAGAGGTTCTCTAACCAACCAACCAACCAACCAACCAACCAACCCACCCACCCACCCACCAACCAACCAACCAACCAACCAACCAACCAACCACTCAACCTCTGGTGGACACTTCGCTGCGTTCATGGGTAGACATGCAGCCTTGGGTATGCTAAACGGGTCTATCTTGCAACTAGCTTCGAGTTTTCTAAGGCACAGTGACGTTGCGAATGCTCGAGTCTTCCAATGAAATGGCAAATGGGATCTATGGAACTCCCCAACTCAGGTCCGATCAATTTTCGATTCAGGTCAGTCTTCGGAACCCGTGGAGAGTTGAGGCTTACTCGGCGGGTCAAACAGGCACGGTTCCTCATATACCCTGTTTGAACATCACTCAAAGGAAGCTCATTTGAACAATGCAACCAAAAGCCTTAAACAACTCAGAAAGGAAGTGCGAGTCCCAATCAGGGATTTTGATTTGGGTAGTCAGGACCCTCGTGGGTTTTTCGCTCGGTGAATTTCGCATGAGCTCTCCCAGCCAGCCGGGGTTTCCGTTCTCGGTGGTTTGGAAACCTCCGGCTTTGGGGTGGTCCTGTTTGGTGAAATCTGGAGGCCAAGCTCCAAGCCAAATGTCCAGAACTATCCAAGGGGAAACGCTCGAGAATCGGTTGAGCCTGCCACTTCTCTCTCCCTCTTCCCACCTCAGTTTCGTTTGTAAGGGTAATATGAAAGGGACGCCAAAGCCTATGTTTCCCATGAACAGAAAGATCCAACATCAAGACAAACAATCGCGTGAGCGTTAACTCACTTGCCCAAAGGACCTGGAAATAGAAGGCTGACCTTTTACGACCTTAACTAAAAGTGGGGAAACCAACAAGTTAAAAGGTTGTTTTTGCACAACTCAGTCCAAAGCTATCAAAGCCATACACAAAATCACCATTCATACCCCTTCTACAAGCCTCTGGCAACCAACCAGACAAGCCTTGTGACACAGGGTTTCGCAAAATAAAAGTCCTCTAAAACGGCTGGTTTCCCTCAAATGCCAAGCAAAAGGGGTCTACCATTTCAAGAATGGGGCGAAAATACCTTTTTGGGCCTTTCTTTTGAACACGTGCGAGAACAAGTTCATTCGCACAAGTTGAAGCTTGCGGCGTGTAATTTGCAAATTGAACGTCTCAACCGGTGAAGGCAGAAAGGATGTGAAGCGCCCCGGAGGACACAACCCCTTCTTGGCAGAAACTGCCAACTCGGATGCTCGTAAAACAGCCAACCAACCAACCCACCCAACCGACCCGACCCGACCCGACCCGACCCGACCCGACCCGACCAAACCAGCCCAACCAAGCAAACCAAACCCAACCCAGCCAATCAGCCCAACCAACCCAACCAACTGCACCACACTGTCACTGTCAACTGCCCCCCAGAAACCCAACCAACTGCACCCCCAGAAAGCACACCTGCCACTGTCCACGTGCAAGGGGAGCTGGGCAGCAGGACCCAGGGCTGGATAGCCGCCTCGATGGCCTTGCTGAAGAGCATCCTGCGATGGGGAAGCCCTCGACCATGGTTTGGTTGGTGCGCTGTCCACGTGGAGTGCAGTCGGTTGGTTGGGTTTGGTTGGGTTTGGTTGGGTTGGGGTGGGTTGGCCTGGGTTTGGTTCGTTGGGTTTTGGTTGGGTTGGTTGGGTTGGGTTGCGTTGGACAGTCTTCCTGAGCGGACTGGCCAGAAGTCCGGGAACCTTTTGCTTGCCACACATAATGGCAACGGTCTATCCTTTTTCCAATCACTTAAGTGGACAGGGGTTTGAAAGCAGTCGTCCAAGCCCTCTCTGCAGTTTGCACGATTCTTGGAGGGTGAAAGTGGATGGCGCCACGGCCTGGACAAGACAAGAGAGGACGATCAAACCAAAATGGGGGAATGGTGCCATCTACTTTCACTCAACTGCAAGCAAGTTTAGCTACAACTGTCTAGACAACCTCCTGTTTGGTTCCCTTCAAAGGGTGCCAGGGCCTCTTGCTTGAACATTTGGCCACAAAACAAGGCGGCAACCAACAAGTGGCTTGCAAAAGCCCACGACCAAATCTGTTTGTTCGACCCACCAGGGGCTACATCGGGACCCCCCAGCCACGGTGTCTGGTTCAGTTCGCTTTTATCAAAGCTGTCGTTGTGGGAAATGCGCAACTCGTAACCAAGTGGGGCTCCCAGGCTTTGCACCATTGGCAACTGGTAATTACAAGTTTCTTTCAACGTGCACCACGTTTGCACCATGTAGGCGACCCATGAGGCTCTTTGCTTGGGTCCGAGTCCTGGGACTGTTGAGATACATCCGACACTGGTCGAGATCATTTGGATCACAGGCTCTGGTCTTCCCTGTCAAAACCGAAGACTTTTCGCACTTGAAGTTTGAGCTCAACATTCAGGGCGTGCGGACAAATGCGTAAAACATACCTTTGGCCAATGTTTATTGCTCCCTGCGTGACACCAGCGCGTATTTTGCATGCCCTGCCGGATTCAAGGCGAGCTCGGAGAGTCTGATGAACTCGTTTTTTGCTGATTCGACTGGTGTTTGGCAGCCTGCAAGCCATGTTAAGCTCTGGGACGGCCTGCAAGCAAAAACGGCTCTGAATCTGCAAGTTGGCGTCTTCCTGAGGTTCTCAAAGGTAGAAACACGATTGCTCAAAACCGAAGTTTGCAGGGTGTAACACCAAGTTAGAATGGGGTGGGGGCGGCCTCCAAAGCCACATTTCTAATTGATTGGATAGTACGTTGTATTTGTTTGCCCCTTACATAAATACAAGTGTGTATATTATAAATATATCCAGCATAATTGTTAGCTCCAACGAAGAGAACATGAAGTGTTTTTGCATCGAGGGCGCTTAAGGCCGTGGCCTAAGTGACCCTTTGATTCGTTTGCTATGTGCCCTTTTTGGCTTGATAGGCGTTGGGATTCTGTTGAAATCGAACAGCTACTCATGTCGAAGTGTGACAACTGCCACATTTGATTGGGGCCAACCCGGAACGCCCGTTTTGAGTGTCAAAGCGTGTCATTTGAATGTCAGTGGGCCCCTTGAAACCCACGTGTCTCTGCGGCTCGATTTGCCCGGACTGAGGAGGGATCTGCTGGAAAGGGCAACCCTGAGGAGCTAAGTGCCCTTTAAATGGCTTAAGTGACCTCTTTGATTTAGGGTTAAGTGCCCTTATGTTCAAAATGGATCATAGCACCCAAAAAATGAATCGTGGGCACTGAAAAGCAGCTGGATACATACATATATACACTTATTTTTTTACTTGTCCTGTGGTGGCTTGGCAAATGTTGGTGTTGTCGGTCGTTGTGGCTTGGTACTTGTTCCAGCTGCGGGTGTTTGGTATGACATCTGATGAGCGGTTTGGGGTTCTCCGGAATCCTGGTCCTTGGCCTTCAAACCTAGGGGTGTCCAACACTTCTTGCCCCTGCATTCTTCGGCAAGCAGAGGGAGGGGGTGGTTTTGGGCCAAATGGGGCGCTGGCACACGCACGTGTTTATGTCGGTCTTACGCGCGGGGTCAAAAGCGTCGCGCGCGTATTGCAAGATTCCGTTGCCAATCCTTCTGAAACACGCGGGGCTGCATCGTGAGGCGGTAACAAGCATGAAAGGCAAGGGAGAAGACCTTTGCCAATTCTAAAGGCAAAGCACTGCAACAGGGCAACCCATCAATCCAGTTTCAGCCAGTGTTTCCTGCAAAGGAAGAAATCTACGCGTGTTGGGTTAGGCAACCGGGCTAGCCTTTGTGAGCGCACTTTCGCCCCCATAAAGGGCTGGCAGCGGAGGTTTGCCGGCTCTTCCAGCCCTTTCAAAGCACAGTGAAGGGGACATAAAATATCCATGTTGGCTATCTTGCTCAAAAGCATCAAGGTTTGCTGGCCGCTCACTGACCATTGTTGAAAATCAAGTTGAAGTCAGCTCCCGAACTGATCTTCGGCCCGAGTGGAACTTCCGAAGGCAATTTGGACCGTGCAAAAGTTGGACCGCCTTTCTCACTTGAGTTCAATTGCCACTTGGGGCAACTGCAATGGGTTGCCTCAAAAGCAGTTCATATAAATCCCCAAGTTTGCTGCAGGCAGGTGTTGGCGGATGACAGTGCGCCTGCAACCCGCCAACCTGTCCTCGCCACGGCTTCGCGCATGGGCCTGCCGCAACGCGTCTCCCCGCGCCACGCGCTGCCCGACAAGACACGGATCGCTCCTTAGATTCGGAACAGCTGGTCTAAAGTGCAAAACATGGCCTGTGCAGCGCATGGGTGACGAAAAGCACGGTGGCTCTAGGCCTGGGGGTCAGCAACCCTGTGAAAATCCAAACAATCCGCCTAGAACTGGTCAAGTTCCGCGGCCAAGCTCCCCTACCGTTCAAGCCTCAAATCTGCCCTAGAAGGCAGCCAAATTTCCCGCTAGTGGCCCGGTCAAGTTCCTTTAAAACCAATCCGGCCAGCCAAGCTCTAGTTCCTGATACCTCCGGCCTCAGCCCAGGCCCGAAGGCTTCGCTCGACCCCAGCGCGCTGCCCTTCTGCTGCTCTCAAACCGCAGCTCCCGTTCTAGCCCTTGCCATGTGGAAACGCAGATCTTGGGAAACAGCGCAGGAACACAACACTTCAAGGCAAGCCAAAACACAGACAGCCAAAAGCATACTGGCCGAGGCAGGATTACATTTTGTGGGTTCAACAAACACGGGCGTCGAACAACCATTTCTTCCTCCGAGAAAAAAACTGTTCAAACAAGGGGGCGCTGGAGAGTGTAACGCAGACCAATACGCCCATTTCAAGCAGTCGGCCCCCTAGTGCAAGTTGACTCGGCCAAGCTGGGTCTGCTTGAGGATTCAAGCAATTTGAATGGGCGCAGCGCCTCATGGATTTCAATGCCTCCGAACAAACAACTTACGTTCTGACACATTGCCGTAAGATTGTCTTTTTAGCAGTCGGCAAAAAATAACACGAGGCTTCTGGAACAAAAGCCAAAACGGGGGCCCCAGCACATCACACACAACGAGTCTGAAACCAACGTGAGCCTCAACCAGGACCAAGAGCTTTCTGCAAAAAAAACGTGATCCTCAACCAGGAAAACAATCAGCGTGTGTCTCCCAAATGCGCCGGACATGGGCTTCGCTTTCCCTTCGCTCTCTCAACCCCGAAGGAGCCTGGGCCGAGCAGCTGTGCCCGCGGAGCTTGAGCCATCGGAGATAAAGTTGGCGGAAGTGATGGCTGGATGAGTTGGAGTCGCTCGCCTTTTTAAGGGTTGGCTTCAGGGGGAAACCAAAGGCACTCAACCCCAAGCGTCCTTTGGGAAACAACGGCACTGATGGCATGGGAAATTGCAAAAGGACCATCACCTTGTTTTGTTTTGAGGGGGGGGGGTTGCCGTGCGCTAGATGAAACCCTTTGGTGGCTGGGCTTGTCAGCATGTGACATCCGTGCACCGCGCATCCAAATCGCATCTTGTCCTTCACCCTTTTGTGCGAAAATGAAGGGAATAAGCATAGAACCTGCTTGGCCCCTTTAATGGTTGAAGAACCAATTGTCGTGTGTGGACCTGTAAACACATTGCTGAAAGCCGGCGTTGAGCAGATGGAGTTTCTCTCGCATTCAATTACATTAAGGGAACTAAAAACCCGGTTCCCCCCCCCCGTTTGCCCAAAACAGACCTGAAACTGGACGGTTTACTTTTTGGAGCCTTGAGAATAACATTGGGACTCTGCAAGAGTCCTAGTGTAAGCAAGCAAGTCCGGAGTCCAGGAGGAAGGTACTCTGGTTCTCTACACGCAACAACCCTTTCAGTCAAACTCGAAAACAAAGGCAAGTAATTGGGGCAGGCCTTGACTGGGGAGGCTACCTGCAAATTGCACTGAGAAGCCCCATACACCTCCAAACCCATGCACAAACCTCTGGTATGGAGGTCCAATGGTCGACACGAAGGGAAGCCTCAAGAAAAGAATGACACCAGGCACAGCTGGGAAATAGATTAGCACCCTCCAACAGCTGATTTCCAGGGTTTATGCTTGGGAGGGGGAAGATCCTTCATAGGAACCCTTTTCCTTTCGCCTTCTCAGAGGCCCATGACCATCCTCTCACCAACGTGCTGGTCTGCAAATATCTGTGTCGCTGATCGGGCTGTTTGGGCAATCAATCATCAACTAACCATCAACTGTACGCTATCACCACAAACAAAACGTGCACTGTTCTTTTGCAAAACCACAGAAACAAGCAAACTCGATTGTATTTATCCTGTCTACTTTTCTAACAAAAGCAAGGAAACCACAAAATCACACCAACAAACACATGGCTGTAGGTCAAAATCCCGTACCCCCAGTGAACATCCCAATCCCCACTAACATAGACAAAAAAAGGGTGGGCACCTACCCCAAAATGGTACCATTGGTTTCGACCCACAGCCACGTGTTCTGACCACAACACGTTCACCGCGCAGGCACGAAGCCACTTCTCCGCCCGAGGCGTGGGCTTTGGCGATGGCCCGGAGCTGCTCCGCCCGGGGCAGGCGGAAGGAGATGTACCTGGACAAATGGATTCCGTAGAGGGTGGCCCTTGGCTGGGTGGTTGCTTGCATGGTTGGTTGGTTGGTTGGTTGGTTGGTTGGTTGGCTGGGTGTTAGTTGGTTGGTTTGGTTGGATAGGTGGCTGATTAGTTGGGTGGAAGGATTGTTGGTTGATTGGTTGGTTGGTTGGTTGGTTGGTTGGTTGGTTGGTTGGTTGGTTGGTTGGTTGGTTGGTTGGCTGGGCGGTTAGTTGGTTGGTTGGTTGGTTGGTTGGTTGGATAGGTGGCTGATTAGTTGGGTGGAAGCATTGTTGGTTGGGTGGTTGGTTGGTTGGTTGGTTGGTTGGTTGGTTGGTTGGTTGGTTGGTTGGTTGGCTGGGCGGTTAGTTGGTTGGTTGGTTGGTTGGTTGGTTGGTTGGTTGGATAGGTGGCTGATTAGTTGGGTGGAAGGATTGTTGGTTGGGTGGTTGGTTGGTTGGTTGGTTGGTTGGTTGGTTGGTTGGTTGGTTGAATCGGTGGTTGGTTGGTTGGTTGGTTGGTTGGTTGGTTGGTTGGTTGGTTGGTTGGTTGGTTGGTGGGTGGGTGGGTGGGTTGGTTGGTTGGTTGGTTGGTTGCTTCATTGCTTGGTTGGCTGGGCGGTTGGTTGGTTGGTTGGTTGGTTGGTTGGTTGGTTGGTTGGTTGGTTGGTTGGTTGGTTGGTTGGTTGGTTGGTTGGTTGGTTGGTTGGATGGTTGGATAGGTGGCTGGTTAGTTGGGTGGAAGGATTGTTGGTTGGTTGCTTGGTTGGATAGGTGGCTGGTTAGTTGGGTGGAAGGATTGTTGGTTGGTTGGTTGGTTGGTTGGTTGGTTGGTTGGTTGGTTGGTTGGTTGGTTGGTTGGTTGGTTGAATCGTTGGTTGGTTGAATCGGTGGTTGGTTGGTTGGTTGGTTGGTTGGTTGGTTGGATGGTTGGATGGATGGTTGGTTGGCTGGTTGGTTGGTTGGTTGGTTGGTTGGTTGGATGGTTGGTTGGTTGGATGGGCGGCTGTTTGGTTGGATGGGTGGTAGGTTGGTTGGATGGTTTGTTGGGTGGTTGGTTGGGTGGTCGGTTGGTTGGATGGGTGGGTGGTTGAGTTCCAGTGGATGGTGCTGAGAAGTTGGGTTCCAATACGTGGCTTCTATGCTACAGATTGTACGTTTCGGTTGGCCGCCATTTATTGGGTTCTAACAAATGGGTTTTCTGCAGCGCAAATGATTGTCCAACTTGGGCTATGTACCTGACAGGGGGGGTGCTTTAAACCACCAACGTGAGGCGTAGGTTTTGATCCCAACTTGGGTAGCGTTTTGATGCCCGCGGCTATTTTGAAACCACTGGGTGGCTTCCTTATAGGCCGCGACAAAGGCCATGGGGAGAAGGGCGCGGGCCTGCTGTGGCCCCCGTGGTTTTGATACCCGGAAGTGCGCAAAGTGGCGGGGGTCCATTTCTTGAGGCGGGGGTTGGTGGTGAAAGCTGCTGAAAATGGCCCCTGGGTTCGGACAACCTCTTCAAGTCACCATTTACAATGTAATTTGATTGTGAAACAGAATTTTGAGGATGTCACTGTGCTGATTTCATTTGGAGCTTTGCTTGACAACCTCAAGTAAGGCTCAGCAATGAAAAAGTTAGGTCTGTAGAGCGGCGGGTTTCCTTTTGGTGCTCGTCTCAACTTCTTGGGAATATTTGATTTGCCGATCTTGTTTCACATGTGTGTCTTCCTTTTTTGAGCGAACACCTGTTGTGCATGCTTCTTCTCTGGGAAACCAATTGAAAACCACCAGTTTGGGGGTCCCCCCCAAAAAATAAAACAGCAAACCCGAGACTTGCAAGACATTCCGCTTCGGCACCACGCCAGCAAGTGGAAGGGCAGGATCATCAACACCTGACGAGCGTTGCGCGCAACATGAAGGGTGCACTGTCGGTGCACTGTGTCCAAGGCCCGAAAAGGTGCTTGCTCCGAGACTGAGAACAAAAAACAGAGAAGTCTTGATTCGACCCATGTCTGTAGGTATCTGCGTCTTCGTCTTCTCCGTCTTTCTCTTCTTCTTCCTCCTCTTCTTCTTCTTCTGCTTCTTCCCTTGGTTTGGGCGAGGAACCTTGACTGATGCGCTCGTGATTCTCTCCAAACATGATGCACACTTGAGGCAAGGCGCCAATGGCGGAGAGGTTGGAAGGCAAATCAGGACTAAGGAGGGGGACATCAGGCAAGGGTGGTAAAACAACTAGGTCCTCCAGTAGAGAGGATAGAATAAGGGTACCAACTTTTTTCAGTGGTCTATTTTAGTAGGGGAACCCTCCCCAAAAAAAGTTGGTAAAAAGGGCACTACTGGGGGTCCTAGACAAGTCTTCAGCCACCGGACAACTGCGCCGGCTATATGATTCACTTGGATTGAGGGCCCTCTTCTAGAAAACCACATGAGCAGCGCCCAAAGCCTATTTGGTTCTGCCAAGATGGTAGCAACAAACGTTGCTTTTGCAGCCCCCACTAAAACTGAACAGAACTATTTATTTATTTATTTATTTTTATGTTTTTCTTTTTTTTTTCTTTTTTAAAAAAAAAAAAAAAAAAAAAAAAAAACTAAAGGCCTAACTACTTGCTAACAACAGTGAAGTTACTATACCTAAGTTCCAGGGAGTAGAAATGATGTTAGGCAGGGAACGCACTTGTCAGTCGGGTTCAATTATTAGGAAGCCTGCCCCTATTGCGAGTCTCTGCGCTTCGAAGAGATCTCTTTACTTTCAACTCGAAAGGGAAGCAAACAGCTCAATGTCAATCGACCTGGTCGATTGCTGTTCTGCAGACACGAACCGAGCAAAAATAATAATCCAACAGCTCAAAGTATCCCCATTTTTTGAACCTCCTGGGGGACATTGAGGGACCCCTGATTGATTAGGGGAGTGTTTCCAGCACTAAAGAATCTTGCTCGTCCGGCGTGAGAACGTGTACAGCTCGGGGCCTCCCCGATCAGGAACTTGTCGCCAGTAACGGCCTGAGGCCAGGCACATTTTATCAAAAGCAGCATGGGCGTCGCCCCCCAAAAACAACTCCTGATGATGATGATGCTGCTGATGATGATGCTGATGATGACGATGACAATGGGGGTGGTGGCGGTGGTGGCGATGGTGGTGACACTACGCTTTAACCACTCGTGGCGTTGAACTCTTGAGCCATCAGCCGCCTGGTCTTAACCGCGCAAAGTGGTGTCTAAACCCTGCAGACTGAAAACAGCACGGGAAAACTACGGGCAATTTGGGGGGGTCCCCCATTTTGAGACAAACCCACACCGGTGTGTCTTAAAATGGGGGACCCTCAAAAACGGTGGGTTGTCCTTTTAGTTTCCCTTCCAAGCCCCAAACTGAAGTGTACTCTGAAAAGAAGACAAACCCACATGAGGGTTGATCAACATGTGCACAAAACATGGGGCGACCATTGGTTGGACAACAACAAAAAGGTTCATATTTGAGCAGGAAAAAAATACCAGCGGTCAAAAAACTGGAGGTTTTAAAGGGAATATGGATTTCACCGCCCACATGAACCATGGTTCCTGTGAACCCCAAGCAAAGGGGTCTGTTGCCCGTGGCACGCCTGACTTGCTTCCTCGGCCCCGAATTCGACCGAAATCGGTCAACTTTTTGGCTTGGTTGGCGTTGGAAGGGGAGCAAAAGAATT